GGTCTGAGTCGTATGTTGCGCTTGGGGATGACATCCGATGTGAACATCAAAGCATCCAAATGTGGGGCTGAAAACTCGTGGCTGACCAGTTTTAAATTGGTGTTGCGCGGGCAACGAACTCTCTTGATTGATTGGGATATGATACATTGGGATTGTGTCCTTGTCAGGGGTAGGAGGGCACTTCCCAGTCTTGAAAGGAACACATGTGCAGAATTATTTTGGGCCCCCTGATGGCCCCTGGCCTATCCAAAGGTTGATGTCACACAACGTTGATTCAGGCTCTCTCGGCTTCGCGCGTTGATTTTCGGCTTCTCACGCCTGGTGTTGGAGGAGACATCGAGCTACTCGTGGCATGCAAGCGCTTTTGGAATCGTCCACCTGGCACAACCAAACCAAAGCGGCAGCGCGTTGTTTCAGGTCATCAAGGCAGCTTTTTTAAGACCCTTGCTAGCCGCTCGCCAAGTGATGGTCTTTAGATTGCTTTGTTCCAGCCTGAAGTCATTCCTTCTTGACCGCCCCCCGCCTCTCTGCTTCTCCTCCACCTGAGAGTTTCTCAGCTCCGGATCGATCAAAACAACTGCACCTACTCCGGAAGACTAATGTAGACGATTCTATTTCACCACCCAAGCTTGAAGATGTTTTTTCAAATAGGTGGCTTTATGTACCTTAAGAGCCTACATATCTAACGTGCCAAAGCCGGTTCTGAAAGATCAGCGGTATTCCACTGAAAGACCGGTGGTGTTTTTCTATGTTTGGCGGCCATTTCTCATGGGACTGGAACATGTACCATCCCATTGACCCCTGAACCGATCCAACCCCCCGTGCAGGTATCAGCCATAAATGCGTGAAGTGCCTAGGTAGTAATCACAAATTGGAGCCGCCCACGAACAAAACATGGGGAAACCCCCAAAACTGCAGGACCTTTTGCTTTCAACTACTTTCAATTGAAGTGGTCTATGTTTCACATTTCTTGCTGCAGGATGTAGGATGCCTCTTTGAACAGTCATCCTTGAAGGCAACCAAAAGGCCGTACAAAAGGCCAACTGAGACCGACTTGAACACACCAAAAAGGCATAAAAGGGATGAACTGCTGGTGTTCCATGTTGCGACCCTCAAAACAATACCTATAGGCTCCAGTGCCAGTGAAACTTATAATTCCCTAGGGATCCACATACCTTCTCAGGAGGTACTTGGGCCCTCCAAGCCTACATAAATAGTCTCCAATCACCTTCTAAGAAGGTACAAGTACTTGGATCCCTAGGGATTATATATTACCCTAAGAATCCGGGCCCTCAAACAGATAGGGGCCTTGAGTGCCCGGACCCCTGCCATGCAACGTTTCTGACCCCTGCCGAGCCCAAGGATTCTTAAGGTACCTACAATGTTGGAAACCCCAGGGTATATGGTGGACCTACCCTTAGACTGTGGTGGATTCTGACCCTCCCTTGGATTATAAGGTCCTACCCTGGAAGTCCAGTCGTGAATTTTGGGACCCCCTTACACTGTGGTAAAATCATGACCAGGTGTCTGGGACTCCAAGACGAAGAAGAAACAGTTGTTTTTCGACCCGAAGGCCCGAAGGGACCGGAATTTCCTTTCCTTCAGGGAGTGCCACGACGATCAGCAAAACGGCACTTCATGGCACTTCTAATAAGCATGTTTTATAGATTAAAACATGTATATGATATATACATACACATATATACATACACCCTAGAAGTCCAAAGACTTTATTTGGCACCTCCGAAGTAAAGGACATTCATCTGCGATCATGTTTGTAATTATGTAGATTTTGTTTATGTGTTTTTAACGGACAATGTTTTGAATGGTCGACTGGACTCCCAAAGCATCTAACGGATTCCCCTTTTGTCCACTTCTCAACCCACCAGCTGGCGCCTCGGCAGCACTGCTGGGCACCGCTCCGCTCAGCAGCAGCAGCTCCGCCGCGGCGTCGGCGTCGCCGGCGGCGGTGCGGAGCGCTGTCCAGGCGTCGGAGGGACTGAAGCCCAGCTGTTGCAAAGCTGAAAGCTCCTCACCCGCGGAGCAAAGGCAGCAAAGGTAGCCAGTGACCGTGACTGTAGGACCCGGAAGGCCTGGGGTAACTGGGATATATAGTCGAACTAGGGCTCTTCAACCTCTGTTGGGCAGTCGGACGAAAATCGGTAGTCTGCGACCCATCCTTCGAACCAGCGGTTGGCTTCGATGGGCGTATCAAGCCGTATCCAACTTGAGTGGTGAATGTTCAGAACGACCCTGTGAATTTCAGCCGGGAAAACGCCGAGGGAACGAGGGACCTGGAGACTGCAGGGGACCGAGGGAACCAGTCTGAGTTGCTTCGGTTCTGCTTTCTATACAGAGGTGGCCTCCCTGTCAAAGTGAACATGGATGGCCAGGGGAACCAAAAGGGATTGATCCCCTCCCTCAAGAATAAATTCGCTATCCTTCAAAGAGCCTCCTGTTTGAGTGGGTTTTTCAACAACCCCTTGGGGCTCACGGTGGAGAGTCAAAAGAGGTCTATCCCTGTGGTGGACATGAGCGACCCTCACTGCATCCCGCCGCTCCTGCTCCCACTGAGGCGCCATCATCTCCTTCCTGGGCGAAGAAGGTCGCTGGCTGGAACTGTTTGAGGCACCAGTGAAGCATTTCATAGGCATAGCCCATGGCATTGCCATTGCCGCTTAAGACTTAACTTAAATAACACAAGGAAGATATTTGCGGGATGTCCAATAGGATCCTCTTCACTATTAATCTCCACACTGACACCGCTGACGATTGATCACTACAGCCACGTAATCAAGGGTGTTGCTACAACTGGTCAAACTAGTGCTTGACAAATAGACCAACCGTTGCAACGGTTGTGGGAATTTGTATCAAGTGGGAATGAAAAAACAACAAAACACACCGACCACCCCTCAGTTCTCAAGGGTGTCACCTATATGAATAGCCTTATCTAGTCTCAGGAACGTCAGGACCTCCAACTCCAATTTTGGACTAACGCTCGAAACAGGCCCAACACTCCCCCAACAAACACCAACTCCATCGGCTTCGGACTGCTGAAATCCGACCAGTTGGGGATGTAGTTGCCACGATGTCGCTGGCAACCAGTGCTTCCAAGGAGAAGCAAACCAAAGACCGAACGAAATCGCTGGTTCCTTTACTACTCGTGGCTTCCCTGCGATCCGCTGGGAGCCCAGATTACCTACAGAGGTTAAGTGACCTGAACTAGGACCCTACAGGAGTACCTATATAGGATCCTATAGGATAGTCGAACTAGGGTTCTCTGCTGGTATTGGGCCCAAGCCTCTCATGTTCCAGATTGAGCTGTTCATCGTGGAGCATGCGGCCCAAAGGTGCTGAGGGTGCCATCGTCTCGGGGTCGGTGATGGTCTGCCACATGCCTGGCCGTCCGAACTGGGGGAAGGCTGAAGACGAAGAACTCAGGCGTGTCAGGAAGGGCTGACAGGAAGGAGACTCAGGCTGACAGGAAACTTGGTGATTTCAGCGTTTCTGAACTCAGGCGTTTCTTTCCCTCCCTGCTCTGACAAAAGCTGATGCTGTTCCCTCAGCAACAGCTGATGCATCCCGAAGAAGTAGGGTCTGCAAGTGTCTGAAATGCCGGCAATAGGACCACCATGGACCTATATACATCCGTGCATGCTGGCACAGTCTTGACACATGATGATGAAGACGAAGACGAAGACGAAGACGAAGGCGACAATGATGAGGATGAGGCGGAGGAGGAGGAGGAGGAGGATGTGCCTAGACTCGTACTATGAACCATCATCCACGGCTTCCAGCACAACCTGCAACCAGGGCCCCAAAGGAAAAGTCGCTCCACACAGGCTAAACCTTCAACCGATCAACATGATCAATGCTCTACTTCAGCTACTAGGGGCTCCTGGCATCGCTACTAGGAGCAAGGACGCTAGTAGGTTGGAGGCCATTGCCTAGCTTCACCTCTACCATTTTCACTCTTCACCTCACCGCTGCTCCGGATTCGCGAGCCGGCCGGCTGGCGAATCCGGCTCTGCGCTGCCTTTCTTCTGCATGTTGTTCGGGTAGAAGAAGACCACCAGCGTAATCCGACCTTCCGAGATCCTTAGGAATTGGTGAGGGTATGTGAGGGTGCCAGATTTGCTCATCTAGATGCTTGGAGGAAACAAAAGCGTTCCGAGATCCGTAGGAATTTGGCTGGGTTTGGAGGTCTTGATGACACCCATCTTGGATCTAATCCACCAAACATGGTGTAGGAATTCCACCAACGAAGGTTGGATCCTGACTATGGAACCCATCCACCAATCTAGAACCAGCCATGAGCATCCAAATGCTCCAATGGACTATACACTACTCTACACTACTCTACACGATTTAGGGATCTCCATTGGACACGGTCTCAGGTGCGTCTTGAAATAGGGAGACCCCCCCCAGTCGGACCACGGACCACTGAGAAAGAGGAGAAAATCAACCAAACCTGACGACTCGGAGGGTCCTCTGACGACTCATAGATCCTAATGGACCGGATGGAAGGCCGTGTGGCCCCAAGTGCGGCCTTCCAGAGTTCTCAAGCTGGATTAGTGGCTTAAAACCCTTTCAACAAGTATCCGTCAACTGGGCATGAATGTGCCCAAATAGGAAACACAGACCTGACACCAACTGGCGCCAGGGATCCTGAAAACACCAACTGGCGCCAAGGATCTCTGGCATGACTGGTACCCCATGCCTCTGGGTGCCAAAGATACACAGGTCGCCATCCTGCATGAGCAGTGGCGTGTTGTCGATCGTCAAGATCCGCTCGTGGCCGAAGCTGAACAACGCCGTCCAGCAATCATGGCGATGACTCCCTAGGTATCCTTGACCTAGGTGAGCTTGAGCGAGTCGAGTGTGTCCCAAAAACACATATATAATTCTTGCCTTAATTTCGGGGTGGGCCAGGAAAAGGGAACACAAACTCACCAAACCAGCTTTCATCCACACATGTCACAATTGCAGCAGAGTGACCATCAGGATACCAGTTGGTGATAATCCCGGACGTCCGCAAACTTGCGTTTCCTCGATTGCTGCTCCATGCTCAAGCACTCCACGTATGGCATATATATATACACATACTGCGATGCTTTAGGATGCTTTAGGGACAATATGGCTCGCATCCATATATATCCGACTACCAGGAACAGTGGATGATGATGCGTAGTAAAGACTTGACTCTTTAAAATAGTGAGCATATGTTACTAACTGCTACTGGTAACGGGAAACGCTCTATGTTTGTGTATACATGCATGCATTGCATACATATTTACATTACATAACATTGCAAAGCATTCCATAGCATTACACCACATTACATGCATGACATACATAGAATACATCACATACATCAATTCCATTCCTAATTCCATTCCATTCCATTGCACCTATACATACAAGTCTGGGCTGGGCACCACCACTTGGGAGTCCCGCAGACCGGTCCGGAACCGAGCCCCGGACCGGTAAACGGTCGGCAACGGTCGCCTTTGGAAGCACATCATATAGGGGTCACTGGATCCCCCCAAATCCTTTGAGCGTCAGCCCGGCCGACTTTCGATGTTTTTCGGAACAGTGCTCTTTTGGGGGACATCGCCCACATCGGGGCGATGCCATACACTCCGAGGCACTAACACGGAAGTGGAGTTCACCACTGTTTTTTTTTGGTCTTTGGTCATCCAACAGACCACGCCATACACTTCCGTACTTCTTTCAGAGAGTGTATTATAGTCTGCAACATCCCGGCCGGATGTTTTCACCTGTCCCAAGAAAACTCAACAAAACCATGACACCACTTTTGGATCGCCTTTTTCCCAGTCGTGGAGAACACAAAAACGGGTCGCGACTGTCCATGGGCAAGTGTCACCTCCACATCGCGCCACCATGTGGCGGTATCCTGCACCGAGTCCTCCGTCATGGTGGCGCCGTTGGTTTGACCAACTCCGTGATTGTTGCGGCCCATGTCTTTGGTCAAATATTCCTCGGGTGCGAGCCGATGTGACGTGGGACATGCGGAACTCGTGGGGACGTGGTGTTTTGGCTAGATATGAAAGGTCACTGGAAGATCGATACACAGTACTTAGCTTGAGAAAAAGGGTGCCTGTTTGGAAGCCTTTGGAAAGCTGATGTCCTACTTTGTGACTTTGCGGCCTCCAAAAGGAAGAGCTCCAAATTTCCAATAGGACTTCTTCCCAAGAAGTACGCCGGCAACACTTTACGAAACATGCCAAATGCCAACGGAACACCTGCTTGGGGGATCCTAGAAAAGCGGCAAAAACCACAAACAACATGGTTGACCGGCCCAAGATTCATGCACGCCCCATGGTCTCGGAATCTCTTTCACCTCCTTCCTGAGCTGCGGATTCATGCGCCAGAAAAGATCGTTTCAACAACTAGTCTGACAGATTCTGTGAACAAGAAAACCCAAGTGTTCTACCCGGACAGTTGCTAGCAGCACCTACATGAGTGAGTCCAATATGTCAATATGTATACATATATGATATATTATGTATACATATATGATATATATATATATATTATATGTCCACACTGGTCCACACTGTCCATTTGCTGCTCAAAGGGTGGACTGCAGTAGGCATAAGGCTGGAGCGGCTAACTATTCTGGCCGAAGACATGTTATATCCTTAGGTGCTCAAAGGACCAATAATATGTGCATGTTTTTAAGGTATATATTTAAATAAACATTATAAATCTATAATTGAAAAAAAAAAACGAGGACCATGAAATAAACAAACAGGATCGTGGTTCTGATGTACTCTGACCTTTATCGTCCAAAGGGCTGTGGAAACCACGGCCTTTCTTCAGGGGCCGGTCTTGTGCAGCCCTAGGCCACCAAATACCACTTATGAGGGGTATATTCATAACATATACTAGTCACTGCCTCACAATGAAGATGGAAAGAACACATTCCCATCACAGTTTTTGCGTGACCCACACAGCTTTCATGGTTGAGGGATTTCACGGTTACATCACGGTTACCTCACGGCCTTTACTGGTATTTGGGGGGCTTATGTGGTTTTTGAGGTGCGTGTTCACTGGTACATCACGCTCACTTCACGGTCCCGGGTTCTCACCTCAATTGTTATGGAGAAGAATTATGGAGAAGAAGAATTTGGATGGTCTCCTAAGCACTCAGTTTTGAATAGTTATATCAGCGGTACCTGGGAGGCCTTTGATATGCTGTTTTGGGAAAGTAGGACCGGGGCTGCCGATTCTGGAGCCGAGGAAGACCAAGGTGATAGTCTGACAGTACAGAATCCAAAGTTCCACAAACAACTATGCAAATTTGATCACCAATCCCCAGCCTCTTCAATTTTTTACCAAATCTTTGATTGCCGATTCGCAAAATACAAACATCTAGTATATGACCATTGTTTCGGTATCTGCGTCTCTTCTGGGCTAGTGTGACCATGCCCCAACACTACATGGTATGCATTTTATATAACCTCCATGGTTCGTGGTTGATTTCAGGGACCCAAACAGGTCGCGTCCAGACCGGGTAGGGTTCGGATGAGTTCTTGGGTTGATCAGGCTTGTCCCTTTCGTGTGGTCCTGCTGTCGTGATGGAAGATCAATCAGGTCATGTTCATTCTATTCATGTCATCGTCCCTGCTGAGAGCAAGCAGCCAAAATGAACTAGAGCGACCGGCAGTGGCAAAGTGTGGCTCAGTCTTGCACGTGAGAAAGGGATCAAGCTGAGTCCTAGCAAGTCGCTCAAGAAAGCTGAGCAATGCTAAGCACCTGCGAGCTTCTGCCACCACTTGGCCACAAAGCGCTCGGAACGCCCCAGAGCATCAGCAATCGCGGCCTTTTGGAGGCCTTCCTTTCGCAAATGGATGGCACGAAGTCGATCTTGATACCTCGGCTCTTGTGCTGGAGCCTAGCCGAAAAAAGAATCACCCCGAGCCCCTCAAGACGTTGGGTTCAAATCCTAGATTTAAGTCTTCCGGATTTGCTCAAAAGATTGTTTGGACATAGGAGATCTGAGGGGTTGGAACCCGTGAAGAGCCGTGCCAAAGAAATGCAAGCACAGAAGTCTTTGCCATGTGATCTCGTGAGCTGGCGTGGCGGCCTGTGAGATCTATCATGAAAGGAGCTGGGCCTTTTGGATTCTTTTGGATCTAGGGGAAGAACTGGGAATCACGAAGCCACTAGTACTGGCCACTCCTGGCCATATAACTAAGGCCAGCTACGAACGGGGCCGGCATCGCTACGAACGGGGGGCGCTCCTAGCATCGGTGTGACTCTCCAGTTCGCAAAATCGGAACCGGGCAGCACCGGACTTCTGGGAGATTCCGGAGTGGCGAGATCAGCGGAAGGGAAGCAAGTCCGGAGACCAACAGAGGTGGGTCAGGACCCTATAGACTATCCTCAGGGCCTCCCTGGATCCTCAGGTCGGCATGGTGCCTCTTGACCGTCCTCCGCCGTCCCCCAGCGGAACGGAGACCCGCTCGACCGAGGCGAAGGTGCTCCTTGTGCCCCTGAGAGGAGTTTTGGGCGAAGAGCCCTTCAGCCTGGAAGTGCTGCTGATCAAACTCGGTCACCTCGCCAGGGCGTCAAACGGACGGACGGCGTCAAACGGACCTTGACCTAGCACTGAAAGAGTGCAAATCATTGGAGCAACGGTCCCACCGATCTCATTCTCAAGTAAAGGCATGTGTGTGACATGGAAGACCCTCGGCCCCCTCTGCTGCTGGAGATATGCATCCATGTGCCTGTGGCCATCCTGCAAATGCGCCATCCCGGGCCATCCTAGACTCATCTGGCCCAAACATCCAACCATCCCAACTCCATCCCAAACCAACTCATCTCCTGGCCGCTCCCGCAATGTCCCCCACACCTCCTCTCGTCCTTTGAACTGCATCCACTTGTACGTGCGCAGTACTTGTCGCTCTGACCTCGGAATGATCGGAACAAGTTCCGCTTCACTTGCGACCCACGAAACAAAAGAACCACCAGGAGTCACAAGACGGGATGCTTGGTCATGGAGGGTGCCGTCGGGGTGCCCAGGGTCCACTCACTGGGTGGGACTAAACACCACCCCGAGCGACATGTGACTCCTGGTGTGCTTTACAGATCTTGGATCGAGCAGATTCTGGAAAAACCCATCGGATGAAATTCTCATATATGCTTTGCATGACCTCAGGCTACATTTGGCCAAGAGGCTGGGAGCTACTCGGCAGTGAGCCCCGCCGCACCCCAAAGGCTTCATCCAACCGCTGCAAGGGCGGCATGGGCGGCAAGAGTGAGTTGCCGGCTTTATGAGAGCCAGCTTGGGAGTCTGAGAGTGAGAGGTTGCTTCAACTACTTAGGCCCTAGGCGACTTAGTAGCTATTTAGGTAGTGATTGTCTCAAGCCTTCTAGGAGGCAGCCACGACAGCCGCGGCCGCGGCTTCTACTGTACGGTGTTTACTTGTTCTGAAAGGAATACTACTGCCAATAGCCAATAGCAATCAAGTTGCTAACACATCTTACTCTTACACTCTCCGCGGTGCTCTTTCCACTTTCTCTTGCTGGTTGGGAATTTATCTTCCCTCCTTCCTAGCCAAAGCTGGCAAAATGTCTTGTGCGAAAACAAGAGAGGCTACGTCTTTGGAGTCGGTGCGGAAGCGCCAGGAAGCTCAAGGAAGCACCATGACACAATGAATTTCATGCATGAACTCAGCGTAAGAATCACCAACTACAAGTTGTTTGCAAGCATCACCAACTCGCTGAATGATTGATTCACAAAACTACAGCAATCATCTTCTCCAATTCACCCCTTCTCAAGCTAGTGCCATCTCATTCAGCTTCTGAGCGGCACCCGAACATTATATTCTGCTGACGTCATCAACAAACCCCAAGTGTCCCAGCACTTCTGCCTGAAAGCCACCGTTCTTGGTCTGCTTGGCACACAGGACCACCCACGTCAGTGCGTTTCACTGTACCCCGAACAAACACCGCCGAACTCACGGCTGCGACGCGAGGGGTTCTCGGGTTGCGGGCGTTCCACCCGTCGCTCACATGGCTCGGTGCCTGTGGCCATGCGCCATGACGATCCAGGCAAAAGCCAGCTAGACCTCAAACAGGTCCGTTTGAAGCACGAGGAAAAGGACACAAAATGTAACAATGGTGAAGCTGTTGGCTTGGGTCAACCTCACACCAAGGCCAACAGAAGCCGTGGGGTTACCCTGTGTGTGGGGTGGTATGATTTGGACCCTCAGAATTTACGCAAATGCAAGCCCTTAAGGATTGAACAAAATCGACACTTACATGGCATCTTCAACGTTTCTTTGCTACTGCTGCCGCTTGTTGGGAACCACGAGCAAACTGGTAAGCAATGTCCAAACTGTATCAATCCCTACAGAATCTCATGCCCTGATCCTTCTGAGATTGTTTGGTTTTTTGCTCCTCACGACCCTCCCAACTTGGGTGCGGTGATCTTCGAGATTGCCGTCCCCCTGCGTCGATCAGCATCTGGGCCAGTGACGCACAGCAAGCCTTGCCGTTGACGCCTCTCCGCGTCAAGAGAAGGGGCTGGGAGATGCCCAGGTGCACAGGTGGCGGTCAGGATGTTACCTAGAGTCTATATCCCAGCTTCTTCAGTACGTGACCTTTTGAAGGTTGCTAAGTGACCCTGCTCGGAGGCTTGTTCGTGACCGAACCAACCAGGTGATCAAGTTCGGTCACTTTGAAGAACCAGGTCCATGTACGTACGGCATATTTACCTATATACATTGGGGTGGTTTCAGGGGTCAATGTAGGCCTCTCACCCTCTCTCACCCGACTCGAAAGGCTCACCTTTTTGCTTCACATTCCACCGGAGAAAGCGGCCGCGCCCAGCTTCCGTGTTTCGCTCGGCCGGTGAAAACCGCGGGTGTCGCTCCGCTCGGGCGCGGGTGGAGCGACAGTCCGTGATGGTGTGCATGTGGATGGTGCTCTTGCGGGAGAGTCCCTCGTTGCCCATAAACCCCCAGGGTTCCAACCACCTCCTGAGAAGATGGTTGGGGTGGGTGGCAGGGGGGTCTAACCACCTTCTGAGGAGATGCCCTAGGGAATAGGACCCTACTGGGGGATCTATAGGATAGCCAATAGGCATCTATATATAGGCCTTAGAGTTCTTTAACCTCTGTTGGCATTCCTGTCTTCAAGCGGACATCACTCTCTCCGGCACCGGTGACAATTCTTCGGAAGGTCCGCCAAAAGGACAAAATGCTCTTGGGACAGACTTCGCACCAGCTTAAAGGGAGATCCTTTCAACAACAACTCCTGACTCTACCTTGAGTGGAAGGAGTCCAAGAAAGTCTGCCCCAAGCCCTGAGCAACCACCAAGCCCTGAGTGACGGCCTGGTGTGTAGATCAAACCTGGATCTTCCAACCAGCCAAGAGACCAACATGTTGCCAGGAGATCCAGGAAAGAAACCTGCACAAACCACTTGGCTCTTGGCTCTGGGTCAAACTCACTTGACCATGAGCTGTCACACCATGGGCTGTCTACAAGTAGAGACAGTCCGGTGATGAGTTCACCCCTGACCAGTCCAGTTCTTCAGTACACTCCGAGTAAGAAGACGCACTTCTCGATGCACCTGGCACTGAGTCTTGTTTCGGACCCAGGCTTCGTGGGAGCAGGCTCCGCGCCAGGTTTCGGTGTTTGGAGTGAGCAAAGGAGAGCTTGGCCTTTCGTCGCCTCACTACCATGGAAGTGGATGGCATGGTCACGAAAGGAAGACGACTTTCCTCCTACGCTTCCATCTGGGTTGAGCTCCGCTTCCATGTGATGGAGCAGAACGGAGTGACTCCGACCATCCCTCAGCTCAGGGCCAACATCAAAGGGCCTAACAGGTCAAGCCAAGTGGAGGCCTGGGAGGTCGGGAGGTCTGGAAGGTCTCGGAGGTCTGGAAGGCATGATTCAGGAGTAACATCGGCCCGGAGCGTTTGGGCTGACCAGTGCAAGGATTTCTGGACATGAGCAAAGAGGAAGTGAATTGAGTCTTGATTTGATGATGACCCCAAGGAAACACACATGTTGTAGACCACACTAGACCACGATATTCATCCATGAGGGCTTTGAGAATCCGGTTTCAACATGCTGTTGCCTGTAGCCAATTACCGTGATTCCACTTGTTGCAGAAAAAACGCAATGAGTACATAAATGATGCACAAACCTAACCTTTCGGGTCATCCAGAGATTGATCCGCTTTGTCCAGGAAGAACCTCATCTTATTCCTAAATAATCCTATAATCAATGATAATTAATGTTTGGACTCTTGATTAATAAACTCCATATAAAGAGGCTTTCCAATTCAAATGGGAGGGTTTATGTATATACCTCAAGAGTCTACATTTAGTCTTCTCAGATGCTCCAAGTCATCAATCTCATCGACTTCTTTCGCCTTTTTCGGGTCTCCACGTACTGCGGTGGTTCGCGCCTGTTGAGCGACGGAGCACTGTACAAACCGTCTCAGACTGTCGGTCTCCCGCTTGCGCGGCGACGTGAAGGCTGGCTGATCGACACTGCACGCAGAACCGGGCGAATCAGCTGATGATTCAAAGATCGATCTAGGTCACAACTGGCTATGACACACACACACACACACACACACACCTGCAGCCGAAGGAGAAGACCCCAGATTGAACTTCCGGACATGATTTCAATCACATGCTGCTGGTTTTCACGGTCTTTTCCTCTTTTCATTGTCGCTGCTACGGGTTCGCGCGCTTAAGTGGTGCTGCGCAACTTGCTACGGCCAAAGACGCTCACTTGGGCCGTGACTTGGACATCATCATCTTCAAAGCTTTCTGGAAGGTGCAGCTGCCATCTCGGCCATGGGATGGGGATGGGGTCCAAACGTGACAAGTGAGGTCATTCATGGTCATCCAAATAGTGACAGCGTGTGATCACTGCTGTCACAGGAAGTGATAACACACGGCAACCATCTTTGCAAAGGAAGTTCGATGGCCCGTTGGAAAATACTATCATCGATCATCATCCAACCGGAATCCGTTGTTCGTTCCCTTCCAGGGCCCCCTAAGAAGCGTAAGAAGGGTCCAATAATTCGCTCCTTAGAGGTGAACATGGGTGTCTATTAACCACCCCTCGCACCTCCTGGCAGTGGGGGCCCTAGTTCGTCTCTGGTTTTTGTTCATGTCCCTTGTGGTCCGGGCCTCGATGCTCGCCGGGCACCTCCTCCGGGATCGCCTCCCGCGGCTGATCCGCCTCAGGCGCAGGTTCGGGGCCCACCAGCGCCAGAAGCTCCAGGGCGTCCTCCTGGGCGGGACAATGGGACTTGGCACACTGGACCTAGAAGGAAATTGAAGATGACTCAAATGACATGATCTAGTTGGTGGTTTCAACTCACTTCAAAACAATGAGTCGAGTCAGGTCAATGATTCTTCTGGAAGATGCTCCACACAGTGGGATATGGGTTTTGGCCTTTAATGGGCTTGGCCCATTAAGGTCTAAAGGTGTCTAAGAGCTGTGATCCCTCCGCCCAAGCTCACTCCCTGTCACCTCCTCCAAGGCTTTCTGGAACTCTGCCTCCTTCGAGAGCTTCTCAGTGCCCATGACGAGCTCCAGCCGGCGCGGCGAGGTCCTCATCTGCTTGGCGCACCTGGTCCGCCATGGCGCCGATGTGGCGTTTCCACCACGCGGCACGGTCTCCAACAAGGGTTTCACTATCCCAGACACTCCATGTTTGGCATATTTACCTACATTGGGGTGGTTTTGGGGGTCAATGTAGGTATATATGGCATACATGGAGTGTCTGGGTATAGTGGGCTAGCCTTATAGTGGGGCACGTGGAGTCAGTGAGTGGATCCCCTCAATCTTCCACCAAGCAGCTCATGCAGCACGTCGACCAAGTGTCCCAGGCCCTTCTTAGGCGCTGAGAAGACCAACTTTCCTGCCAGACTTCGTATGTGCAGCGCTTCTCCGGGAGCTTCTGTGACCTGTGCGTCGACCCTTGGAGGAAGCATGATCAAGCGCAAAAGGAAAACAGTCAAGCTTTGATGGACTTACCCCAGCAGTTGCCCTGCTTGATGGTCAAAACCTGACATTCTCAACGAGGAGACTTGAGTTGAGAAGGCGTGAGTGCTTTTTCTTGGCCTCCGCCCCCCCGCCCTTTGTCGTCTTCGACCAGTCGAGAAGCAAAAATCATACACGCACAATCACACACAGCTCGTACTGGGGTCATCATTTCGGTGTATGTTGGGGTTAGGCAAGAGGTGAATTTCAGAGTAGAGGGCCACACATGCCTGCACTGTAGGTACAGTAGCCTTCCGTTCGACCATGAAAAGCTGACGGTTTTTCAAAAGTCGTTGCTAGATCCTTGCTATAGACAGAATTCCTCGACCCGCCTTTGGGGCTACAACTCCTCACCCTTGATGAACTGTATACTTTGGGTCTATCCTGATACCTGGGCCCAACTGGCCCAGTGGATGATGATGGTTAGGTGGCAGGCCTTGCTCAAAAATCGTATCTTGTTTACTGACTCTTACAGGTAAGTTCCGGACAGACCCATAGCATGTATACTGCAGATTCGAATGTCGACTACCCGGTCCCCTTTAGGTGAGTCACGTCCCACCGACTCAACCTCTCACCCACTCGGCGCCTCCTCCGAGCTCACCTCCAGCTCCTCCGGAGTGCGACGGTCCGGCTCTGCAGAGGGGCGACCACGGAGGAACCGCGTCAGAGGACACCAGGTGCCTGGCAGTGGGGATGCAGGGAAGAAGACCAGGTCGCCCTCCTTCTGACCATTCAAAGACCAAGTAAACAGAGTGAATAGTATATAGGCTTGTTGATTCATGATAGCATATGGTAAAATCCTTCGGTACAGTTAAACAGGTGGCTCCGTAAAAGGGGAGATTAAATCTGGAAGCCTAGGGTCCGGAAGTTACTAGTAACACGACGGGCATCGCTACTATTACTAACACGGGCATCGCTACTCATCGCTACTCATGTGTTTCCTTTAGAAAACTAAAGGACGGCGGCCGAGCCGTCACCCTCTTCGAGCCGAGGGAAGTGCATCAACTCCAATGGCCTCTACTTGGCCCGAACGCGACGTGAACCGTGCTCGTTCGAACGCGATGCCCTTTGATACTATAATAGCAATGAAGTCAATTTCATCGCATTCGAGGCCCTTTTCATTTTAAACGAGGGCCTAGCCCCAAGGGTTCAAGGGTTCAAGCCCCAAGCCCAAGTAAGAATTTAAGAATTTGTGATGTCAATATCCTAATGTCATGTAATGTTAATTCATGGATCTCTTCTGAAATGCATGGGGCATGAGGCACTCATCCCACTCATCCCACTGTCACCCCACCCCTTCACACTATCCACGCCTTTCCTCGCAGTCAGTCGATTTGATCACCATTTGCCCAGCCACGCTGGACATGTTCTGGTCCAAGATTTCGCGATTTGAACCGCGTGCGTTTTCAATCTAAGATTGAAACATTTCCCCAGCAAGCCATCAAGGCATAAACAAACAACAATGTGACTTGAAGCATTCTTGAAGCTGCATTAAGCCAAAAGGAACGAAGAAAACAAGAACTTTCCTGTAATTAGATGGTTGACCACCATCCATGGCTTGACCACCCAAACACAAAGGGTCATTTCAAGGGTCATTCGAGCTCATTGCTCGAGCTACAGAAGCCTCACAAAAGAAGTCGCGTTCAGGCTCATGGAACGTCGAAGAAAGTATAGTGGCTTACCTTAGCGCAAACGATTATGTTCTCTTGGTCTAGTCTAGTCTGGTAGTGGTAGTAGTAGTGAGTAGTCATAGTAAGTAGTAGCAGTGGAGTAGTCCTATCAAACAGTCTGGACCTTTGGCCTTTGACTGATGCATCATGGCTGGGCAAAGCGGCGAGGCATAAGCTCCTGGGAACGGGGTGGGTGGGTGGGTGGGTGGAGGGGGCATCTACAAGCTAAGTCATTTCCATACAACAGTCCTGATCTGCCTTCATATAGGCCATGCGCCAATACCGAACTAGCACAGGGCTTGCATCGAGCACCTCCAAGGTGACACCATAGTTTGGGATAGTTTGGGGAGAATGATCAAAGAACTTGACAAAACCCTGCCTCACGAGGGAAGGCTGAAGCACATGTTGAGAACTTGTGCCCAGTGCTGACCCATGTGTAGCTGAACAATGGGACGACGTTGTTGGGTTTCACGATGAAGAAGTCATCTAGCAAAGCAAAAAACACTATTATCTCATGTTGCACAGTAACAGTAGTGGATTGAATTAAGTTGAATTGAACCAATCTTGAGATTATTTGTTGATTGAACTGAACACCTGCCTTCTCCCGCAGTCTGATCTTGGGTCCCTGCTCGGGCACAGGAATGTCCCATGATGGAGGTATCAACGATACCTTCATCTTCCATTTCCTGAAATAACTTCCTCAAGGGGCACAATTCTGAATCACTGGTCGCCTTCGATGTTTCGCTCTGGACTTCCAGAATCATGTGTGGGGTGTCTGTTGTAACCTTGAAGGGAATTGTTGTCGCCAGGGCATCTCCTGGCAGAAACATTGCCAATCGAGAACTATAGTATCTTATAGTTGGTGACGAGTTATGGTAGTGTGGTGCTGTGCTTTCAGCTGGTGTGGAGACACTGCAAGCTAAGTGCATCGCAGTATTTTTTTCAACGCTTCGACTCTCGGTGGTCCAATCTAATGAACACCAGTCTACTGTAGGTATGACAGTACCCCCTGGTCCCAACTATGTTTCACCGATGTCTCCTATTTCTATAGAACTAACAGAGCCAACATACACAAAACAACGTGAAGGACTTATCAAAGAGTACTAAATACACCATAAGTTGTAATATCATAGTGTTCAACCCTTGTGTGGTGCAGTGGCTCTCAAAATCAAAACGTCATGCTGGAATGGCCTCACATTCAGGCCTTCTCAGCACTCTTAGTCTTGCGCGGCGCCTTGGCCGCAGACTGAGCCGACCTTTTGCTTGGCACTGGGTCCCTTTTGCTTGACCCTGAGTCTGTCAAAGCACGCTTGCTCCGCTCATTTGGGGTCATGTTCTTGATGCAATTCAAGCGCATAGGATGGTCGTGCCACCTGGGTTTCAAGTAGGGCAAGGATTCACCCTGTTACACCGATGTGAACCACACCACATGGTGAGATATATGGTGAGCTAGGTAAAGAAGTAAGTACTACAGATAAGACTAGATCCAGAAGAAACAGGGCCTGACTTTTGATAAAATTTCAGATGAGGTACGCCATTTTGGCCAATTTCAACACTTCTCTTGCTGAAAGCTCTGGGTTGTCACGCTTGATTTCTCGCTGTTTCTGGTGAACCACCTGCCAAAACAAATCCCGCATAGTTCCAGCTGCTGCTTCCTCAGCCTCACCCTCACCCGCATCCTTTGGAGTAGGCTCTGGCTTCTTGGTATTCTGAGTCTTCTTCCCCTTCTTAGGTGGAGGCGATTCCCCCAAACGCAAAGTGGGAGAGTTTCCACCACCACTTGACAGCTCCTCTTCAGAATCCAAGGCGTTCTCCGACTCAACCTCCTCTGGGACCTCCTCGGGTTCCTGGTGTTTGACACATGGCGGTCTAAACCCAATCACATTCAATTCAATTTCTCAACCACAAGTCAACAGACTAGGTGAAAGGAGTAGGCTGCAGTATTCAAATCCCTCCCAGGCCTGGCCTCGACCTCCTTCGCTTTGGATTTGCGCTTTGGAGCGGCAGCAGGCTCAGGGGACAGGTTGTGGAAAGGAACCAAAAACAACTAAAGCAGGTAGCAGCAAGCTGCAGTGAAATCTTCTCCATTGACAATGAGGGCATAAAGAAAAGAAACGATTCTCACAATATAGTTTTTTTGCAATAATACTGACTGCCTACTATGAGCTCTGAACCTTTCGGCCTTGCGCATCTTTCGCTTTGGCTTTGCATCCTTGGCCCTGGCTCCTTTCACCTTGGTTACCTCGGTTCCTTTCCCCTTGGACTCCTTTGGAACACCAGTACAACGAGTTGGCAATGATGCACTTAGTGCTTGAGCCGCTGCTTTTGCTGCACTTTGGTTGGCTTTCCTAGAGTCTTTCTTGTTCTGATTCACCTGTTGCAGACCTTCTGCGATCTGACCTTTCAGACCACTGATAGCTTCAGAAGACAGAGTTTTCTTCTTATCACTCCCACCCTGCACAGGCGCTGGCGCTGGCTTGGCGGTCTTCTCTGCCGATGACCCAGGGGAAGGGCCAGCGCGCTTCGGCAAGGGGTTGGTAGGGCTCGGATTCGGGACCTGAACACAATTCACTTTTAGTGGTTTTTGCTCTCGTGCTTTCTTATTGCAATGAGCCCCGGACGATAGAACCACTGGGTGTGGTGGCAGCCTCTGGGCTGCGATCCAGCATGGCATCCAGGTCCTGGTGAAGGACAGTTCCAGGGAAAGGGAACATATTGAATTGGGAAAGTGGAGACTTAAAGTAGAGGTAGAGAGAGAACAGAGGTAGAGGTAGTTGTCTTGGAACGGTCTGGTTTGCATAATAGATTGATGTTGATCCTGCCTGTTTGAACCCGTGCTGGGCCAAGATAGCGCTCAGACTGTGTGCGCCCGACATTGCCGCAAACAGGTAGCTGACTCCGTCTAAATTTGATAACAAACCAAATTGCTGAGGCACCCACAAGTTGTCACAAGTAGACTTTGAGCCACTGTGGATCCAACAACTGAAGCAATTAGACTTGGATCAGAGTCAAAGCACAAACAGGTCAGCTGACCTCCTGCCGTATTCTCGCGGATTAGCTTGGCCGCTCGGTCGGCTTTCATAAAGGTAGACTTCCCATGGGCAATGAGCCATTCCTTCTCATCGATCTCCAAGTCCTCATGGCAAGCCTTGGGGCCCACAAAATAATCAACGAAAAAACATGTTGGCTCCCCAGAAACCACCCAGAGACTTGTCACAAAAAAGGTTTTTGTTAGCTTCTACCCCACTGGGAAAATGTAAGAACAGTCGAGGGTCCATGAAGAGTTTCCACTTTTGCCCTGGTACGCATTCCTCCACCTTCCCTGAACGATCAGCAGCTGGGGTCAAGTATAATGTCGTCCCAGGCAACTTTCCTGGGAACTTGTTCTCCACCAGAAACTGGTCCAACAACTCTTCAAGACTGGACGGGCCCGAGGTCCATGGAGCTGGCCCTGATTCTGCTGCGGTGTCTTCTGCAGGCACGATGGCAGATGATGGCTCGACCCCACTTCCGCAAAACCTGGTGAGAAAAGAAGACCCACCTGTTTACCAATCGACTCTAAAGAACAAATCCCCTAACTGTGCATAAAGGGTTGTTTGCAGTCAGCTGACTTGGAATCGAAATCAAGGATGAGTTCTCGCCATTTTGGAGCGAACAATGGGTCGGAAAGATGCTTGGCCCTCACCTCATTGCTCAAGTGGACCTTGAAACGGGCCCAGCCTTTCAACTTATCATCGACAGTGATCGATGCCATTTTCAATGAGCACTTGTCGATGTCGATGGACTCAGCTGGCGGAGGTCGGGGATCATAAGGCCGTGTGTCGGCAGGTAGCAATTCGCCTCCAGCCTTCCAATCCTGCGCGCACACGTATGCACACACACTCGAGAAACCTCATTCCAGATTCCAGACCCCAAGACTTACTAGAAAAACCAAACTTCTAGTGGCCAGCTGGTGAGTGGAGAACGTAAAACGAACCCTGAACATACTTCTAGGTATTGCCCTGTTATATGGCCTCCATCACGGCCAACGCCACTGTCTTCTCAGTGTAGGCTGTCAGACCCATATCTGTTGAGACAGAAAGCGAGGTAATGGTGCGATCGGGGTGGTCAAGGTGCCACTTCATGGTGGCAAGTTCCAAGCTTCCCTCATAGGCGCTCAAATTCAGAACTCCAAGCTTCTCACCAACCGAAGACTCTGCCAGGAGGGATTCGATCACAGTACAAGGCAAGGATTCGCCGGTCAGGAGTTGAGCGCTCTCTTGCAGGGGGCTGAGAGCCCTGGCAAACCAAGAGAGGTATATAGCAACATCCAACCCAGTCAACCCAATAAAACTAAGTAAGTCCTTTCTGTTCCATTGGGTTCTCAGTGCTGTACGGGTCCTTTAAGCAAATTTATCCAACATTAGTTCAGTAAAGCTTTATCAGGCCTTGTCCCCTCAGCAGCTGACGGCAATGAGTCCTTCGAACTTGGCACCACATACTGACTCTCCGGTGCGAATCGTAGCAAGCCGTGGGTCGACCTCCAAATTGAAGAGCATTGAGAAACCCCACGCATGAACGATATAATGTATAGTTCATAAAACGTTTACACTGGTATGCAAGAACTTTATAGCACGTTTGTTGTCGCAAGTGGAGTAACAGCTAGCCACTTGCCTGCTCTGGAGTAGTTGCGATTGACCCCACACATTCGTTTCCATGCTCCCGTGGACGAAGATGCACCATGCCGGAAATACCAATTGGACCTTTTTCGTAGATGGTGCATTCTCGCACCTCAGAAATACAGTCTCGGTCTTCATGCCCTTTGCCTCGAGCTTATCTTCAATCCTCCTGTGTATAATTTGTTTCAAACGTATTTAAAAGTCAGAGTCTTGGGAAACCTCTTCATGCTACACAATAAACAGTCCAGTGAAGCTCCCAACCACATTGTGTTAGCTACAGGACCCTGGGACCCTGGGTTCAGTCCTCAGCTCTGATGTCAGCCCTGACCGTCGCTCACTGGTCAGGTGCGGAGCGATGGCAAATCCAACTGCTCGTTCAGGCAAGGCAGACAGGGCCTGCGCAACAAACCCCACTAGGTTGTTGAGGTCTACATTCGTGACACGGCCGTACTTCATGAAGTCCAACCAGCAAATCATAGGTGTTCCATCAGCTGCCAGCTTCGAAGTGTACTCAGGGTTGTGATATTGAATAGGTCTTGAGGGCACAAAGCAATAGATTACAAAACAAAATAGACAACCCGCAGGAGGTCAAAGCTAAGTAATACCTTCTTGGGTTTGGTTGGGTTTAGTTTGATGTTCGTTTGCCAGTTTTACCCTGGTGTCCTTGCCAATCGCGTCTTTCAAGTCACTCAGAGGGCCAGCGATGTGCTTGGATCTCTCTTCCATGAACTTCGTACAGATGGAACCCCCAATCGCATTTTGTTGCTTGAGATGCGCCACCTTCGCCAGGCGCTGGGCGCGCTCGCCTTGGGCCTGCTGCCTGTAGAGGCCGGCAAGCTGGGTGGCGTCCCTCGCAAGCGCGAGGCTGTCAGCATCGAAGAGAAGTCGGTTGTGGTCGCTATGCATTTTGTCTAAAGCTCCATCAGCCTTCACAAGAGTTGATTCATCTTCCTTCAGCTGAGGAAGATGCTCATTCCAGACTGCCAAGTGATCCAGCTTGAAGTACGGGTCCAGCATACTTACCTGATTCTTCAACTCCTCGTAGTAGTCCCTTAGTATCAAAAATGAACACAGGTTGATGTGTCAAGGTTGTCAGACAATAGTGGACTTTAGTTCAACCCCCATCTGACAAGAAAAAACTTCAATGTTACACTGAGAATCCCTTCAATGAAGTGGTTTCGCACAGTCTTGATGGTCTCCGCTGGGAAGCACAGGACGTTCTTGCTGTCACGAAACCTCTCCATCTCCTCAATGACCGATCCCATAAGACAAGCTACGTCGCATTCTTGGTTCCATGTCTCTTGTGACATGCGGAGCACCTGTGCTTTTCCAGCCTTCCTCTTCGTGACGTCGAACACAAAGAGTACTCGTTCCAGAAACAAGATCTGTTTGGGCTCTGTCATGGTCAACAAGTCAGACCAACGCCCATACTCTTGTGCACCTTTTGGAATCCCTTCAAGCAGCCAGCGAGCGTTCAAGAGCATCTGCTGGTTGAAGGCTGCAGGGGTCCAAAGAATGATTCTAATCGTTGGACGAAACTTATATACATTGAAAGAAGTGATTCCAAACCTTCGGGTCCGACAAACAGTTTCAACAGTAGGTGAAAACACAGTTTACCCAAGTGGCCTGATTGCTCCCACTTGTTCACATGAAGGTGCTTCTCGATCACCTTCCATACAACAGGGCATGTCCCAACCTGCCCACACCAGAGTTTGGCATGGAGGTTTGTTTCTCGCTCACACACCTTTGAAACCCAGTCTCCACCAACAATGGTCTAGATTTAGACAAACAGTCTACTTTGGCAGCAGTTCCCACAACGCCTTGAATCCATACATGGCTGCGGCCACGGTCTTTTCTATCCGATATTTGCCAGTTGCTCCGTTGAGCCCATACGCGTTGTACTCATCAACTGCCATGATAAAGCAGTTTCTGTACTCAATATCTGGCGAGTCCTTTGTAGGGACACTGTATTGGTATATAATGAATACAATGAATTATAATGAATAGACATTAAACTAAACCCAGTACAGAACCTTTTTTGGGAATCCTGGAAACTACCCTTGCCAGCTACCCAATTAGAGTAGAGTAATATTATATAATAATTGTTTTGAACCCTAGAGCTCTGTCCTTTTGCAGCTGGCCTGCTCGCTGATGAAAGAGGAGGGTCATCTGGATCAAAGATTTCCTTTGTTTCTCCGATTGCACCATAGAGTTCTGGACACGTCGCCACACATAGTCCTGCTCGTGGTCCTGCTGTATGAACACGGAGGCAACCTCCATTGCAGTGATCAGCCACCTCCAAAGGCGCGAAGTGATCTTGCGAGTGGGGTTTTGTCAGGGCATAATTTGAAGGGGTAATAGTTGGGGTTAGCCTGACGACAGCTCTATGACGTAACCTGAGGCCATCTAAGATCAAAATGAAGTGAAGCCAAAAACTTGGATGCTAGCATAGGGCTGGTCAATAAAGTACCCTTTGAGTGAGTTTATGTTCCTCAAATTTCCAGGTGGGTAGGTGAGGGTGCCTCCATGTGTACCCAATACGGCATGAATCTAACCCAGTGGATTTGATGTTTCCTTCAACTCAAAAACCAAGCCCTTCCACTTATTCTTACCTGTACTTGTTTCAGACTGACAGATAGAGTTGGGAGTAGAAATGCCTCACCTTTGTGAACTCCAACATAGCCCAATCTCAAAGGCGACGCTGGCGGTGCCAGCATCACCTTTGGAAAGTGAACTGTCACCTCTACCTGTGCCTAGGAAAGGCGACGCTGAGGGTCTCAGCATCACCTTTCAACGTTTGCAGTGAAAGGCGACGGTTTGGCTATGTTCCTGTTCCTTTACCTCCCTTTTCATTTCTTTTGCTCTATTGTTTGTTTACCTTGAGAGTAAAGGTGCGGGTCCAAAGGCGACGCTGGCGGTCTCAGCCTCACCTTTCGAGTGTTGAAGCAAGAGACGATGGTTTTCACTCCAAAGGCGACGCTGGCACTGCCAGCATCACCTTTGAAATTTCCAACTATCCCTTACTCCAAAGGCGACCCTTTTGTACCCACTTGTACCTCGTCCTTGAAAGTTCTCACTTTTAGTATTGTTTCCTCAGTGGTGCACCCCCCGTCCAGAGGCCAGGCCTCTTGAAGTCGGCGTAATCCTCATCAGTCATGGACTTGGAGAGCTCCGTGTATGTGTAGCACACAGAGAAAAGCAACACCCCAATTCGGCCAATTCCTTTGCTGGCCTCTACCGATCCAAACCCCAGCAATGCTCCTAAACCATCCCTTCGGAGAGGTTTCATCTCGATGGGCTCTCTCCAGGCTTCATACCCCAAGCTCCAAATGGACATTGCATTCCCCACAAAGTCCTCATAGACTGGAAGTCCATCGGGCGGTGCCCGGAAGCGGAAACTAAGCAAAGGGATGTTGAAGGGCGTCTTCATAGAAGCATCCTGAGACAAGTTGTTGTGATTGAGGGTAATCAATGGTTGTAACAATGTAAGACGTTGTAACAACTGTAATGTCGCACGATTGGTTTTCTGAGTGCTTTGAAGTCATGTTTCGGGCATACGGACTTCTTCTGGTCTTCGAACACTGGCAGTCCCGGTAAGGAGATGCGCAATCCAGTCATGTAAAGGCTGGTAGGTGGAGTCAGACGTGTTGTCCAACAGCCACGTCAAGGGGTGCTGATCCTTCATGGGGTCAAAGTTCCTGAGCATGGGGATGCTTGCAAGATGAAACAACAACTGGTCCTACTTCCACTGTCACTACGTTTGAAAGTCCAAAACTAGTAAATAACTACCTTTAGTCTGGTGTCTGCATAGCCAATCTCATTTTGTTCACCCATGGCCCGAGGTCGAGCTTCGGTGCTTTTGCAGATGGTGGTGTGCCCCCTGAGGCACGCTTACCCATCTCACCACAGCACTGACTAAGGTCTTCCAACAAAAAGGCTGCGTTTCTTACGTTTAATATAATGAGAGACTAAACAGTGCACTGACTGTTTCCAATTCTTCCCCATCCTTTGCAAAAGTAAAGTTTTTTTTCCAAGTGGCGTCCTTGTCGTTCATCGTCGAATTTAAGCTGTGACTCCGAATTACACAACAGGCGCAAATTGGCTATAGGCAGGTATTTTTCACACCTGTTCTAGCCCAAGGGCAGCAGCCAAAATGAAGCTGCCAACACAACTCAGGTTCATACAGTTTCCGGCCATTTTGACAGCACTAGTCTGACAAATGCCCTGGAGATCAAGCTTTGGGCTTCCTGAAGCGCGGGCTTGCTCCAAAGAAGTAGGGAGTCCATGGGAATTCATTTGTTCCTCCACTGTCAGGAAGCGCTTGTGGTCCTAACACAAACGAACCCTTGAGGACACATGATGTGAACATGCGACCTGCAAAATAAACATGAGATAACACTGTTTCAACACCGTGAGACCCCTCCTTGGAATACAACTTTCCAGTATTTGTGGTCAGAGTGGGCAAGTGGCCATCAGCTGTGCTCCCTCTTCCTCGCCCTGTGCGAACCAGTTGAGTCAGGTCCACACACGAGGTGTCCTCCTTGAAAAGCTGCGGGTTCAAATAGTCCTGCAGGTTGCGATCCTCAGCGTGCGAGCATGCAGTCAGAACCTGAGTTCTGAGATGAGGATGGAACATTTGTGTTGGGGCTGGATGGCATAAAGGGGGTATAGGCCTTTTCTTTAATTCAAACTAAAGATCTTCAGAATCAGTCAGCCTTGAAGGTGGACAGTCCAGGAAGTAATAATCATTGGCTGTCATTCGCGGCCTGGCTTTGAGGGCATCCAAAATGGATTCCAATGGGTACTGCGAATTCCATCGGAAAAGGGCATGACGCCAAGCAATCCCATAGATCCTTGGACGAGCGCACCCCAAACCAAAGTGTCGTGGGTCAACCTTCGCGGAAACAGCAGTCCACTCTGCGCCCAACTCATCCCGAACCATATCCTCAATGGGGTACTCGGGGACGTTTTCCAACAACAGTATGTCAGCGTCTTCGGCCACGGAGTAAAACTTCTCGTGGCACTTGAAGACAGGGTCATCCTTCTTGAGGCCTTTGCCCATGTTGCTGTATGAGGTGCAAGGCGGGCCAGCCAAGATAACTCGTGGTCCTGAGCAATCACACATGAGTGGACCTGGCTATTTATTGAGCTCGGGAAGAAACGCTGGATTCAAATAAAAGCATACTACAGTATATGAAGCAGACTAGATTCGTTTTGGAATGATTGACATCTTGCACTTGCACATCTTCTTGTGAGTGGTACAGTAGAGAAACGTGGAATCCCTCTGGAACTCCATCACATCTGAAAAGCAACAGACTTTGTATGTACTGGCAAGCACCTTTTGGCATGCTGGCTCCCATTCAACCTGGAACATCATGTTCACATGACGGCCACGCAAGGGAGTACCTTGTAGGCGATTCTCCTTGTCGACCATGTGCTCGATGCTCAGCAAGGCCTTGGGGGGCACAGGTTGCTGGGAATGCCTAGCATTTGGAGAAGACATGAAATAAGACATGACTAACATTTTTCTGTTTCTGTCATTCCATCGAGCTACACTTTCTGCGCAGCCCACACCACTGAACACAGTTGCAGCTTGCCACTTCCATGTGGCGAGTTTAGCAAGCACTGCACGTTTGCCAAATACCCGAAACAGCCTCAAAAGAAACTGCCTGGCCCAGTCAAAGGAAGCTGGTACACTGGCTGGTCCTAAAGGATGGTCCTCGCCGGCGATGGTGGTGTTAGTCTTTGGCCAGCATTTCCTGGAATCAGACAGTTTGCAAACTTATGCAATGGACTGTGAATCACTGACTGATTGTAGGTTGAATGGGGCAGTCCTTCTAATCTGCTTCTTGGCAGCTGACTTCTTCAGGGACGGCTTGATCACCCTGACAGGGCTTGAAGGATTGTGAAGGGTTCCTCAAACCCAAGCATGGCCTTGCAGGTGGCTTCTGTCCACCGTGAGATAGCAGCTTGATGGCTTCCTTGATGGTGAGCTGCTTGGTCCTCAAAGCATCTCAAAGCAGTGAGGTGGGTGGCAGGTTTAGGTGGCAAGAAACATCCCTTTTGACACTACTGTGCTTTCAAGAATCATCCTCAAAGGCCGGTAGCAGATAGATTTGCCCGCTTGTGATCCAAAAAACTAGTACAGTAGCGAAAACAGAGAGGGAGACAAAGAAAGATAAAGAGAGAGAGGTGAACAAAACATGTCTCATTTGCTGCATCATGTGAACGAACGGTTTGTGTTTTTGTCCTCACTGACTGGTTCCTAGTTTCGTTCACAGCTTTCAAACAGATTTATTCGGAAGAGCAAACTGCTCTTCTGAAATCTCAGCTGCTGCTCTAGACAAAATAGACAGGCAGGCATACAGCCTACCCACAGCCCCCTCTCCGGTTTTCAGCTTCTCCAAGTTGTCCAATCGGGACCATACCTGGCAGAAACTGGAGAGGCTTCCTGTATTGAACCATGGTTGCACCCTCAGCCTCCAACAAAGCACCGTGAGCAGTCACTTGGGGATCACGCTCAAAGAGATCAGGAGTATCAGCCTAGCAAGGTGGGTGGAGAGTTCACCATCTAGCTGAAACCCACACCATACCATTTGCAGGCCTTTGTTTTCGAAGTTCCTGGTGATTGTTTTGGGGATTGCGGTCCTGGAGTCCCAAAAGTGTCCTGACAGGAGGAAACTCAAAATGGACAGACATCGTGTTGAATTTAATGACCCAGCCTGGGGTTGTGAATCCTCCAAGTCGATCTGCGACTCAACCAGCAAGCTTGGAGGAACGCGAGGATATGGTTCTGATCTCCTACACGGGTTCAAAACATGGTGACGGTTCCCTTTGGTTAGTGGGTCCTTGTCGGCTCCAAAGGTGACTTCAACTTCCAGTCCCGGGGCATATCCTGGCGGACCAAGTGAGAGCACAGCTGGAAAGTGGGAGGGCCCGTGACGGTCCTCAAAGCGAAGGGGACCAAATTTGGGTTCGAGCCAGAACGTTTGTCTCTGGAATCTATATAAACACGTCATTGCACATTCATGCATATGATTCAAGCTGACACTTGTGTTTGGTTTCCCACATGGAGGATGAAAAAGAGACGATAAACAATATTATCACGTTTTTTTGTCTTAAGCCTTCTTGAACAAGGCAGCAAACCTCATTTGAGGTACAATGTGCTGCATATGCCTGATCGAAGACGCATCAAAACTGATCAATGCATCGTACTCATCCACGGTTCTGTTTAGAAGCCATGTGAGCCTTGGTAGCGGAGCTGGCTCCGCGTGGGCAGCTGCCAACTTGCAAAGGTAGCGAACAGTGCGACCTGTGCTCTCTGTCGCATCTGTGTTCAACAGGGTGTCGGCCAATGCCAACAGCTTCTTCCTACGCTCCACGTCAAAACAGCGAACAGGTCGTGGTTCCTGAGGTAGCGGTGGAAGAAGGCACATGAACGCTTGTGGCCATACAAGCACTGGGTCCTGCACAAGCCATGGACTAATTAACGCCAAAAAGCCGCGAGCAAGTCCACGACACCACAATCAACAGATTAAAACAACACGTTTTTCCTGTGAGAGATTCTTGTCGCTCGCAAATCGCTTCACAAGACAGATGACATCGTTGCTTTGCTCTGGCCATCTGTCCGAAGAGCAGGAGATGTGCAAGTGCGTCGGGACATCTGGCAAACGTGCTATCTATCAGCGTTCATGTTTATTTGCGTACCGCTCAAATGACATGCCTGCCATACCTCTCCGTCTCAGGAACACAAAAGAATGCGCGCCGCTGATATCATCTTTGAGGGCGCCAGCATATCGAACTGGTGCGTGTTCTAGCCTCTAGGCTACAAATCAACAAACTGAGGGATGACAATTGGAAAGTGCTCATGAGGCATCACACGTGCAAACAAATGGCCAACTCTTGAAGTCCCTCACCGACTCCAGCTTTTCCACATAGACTGTCGCAGACCCGAGCCATGCCTTCAAGTTGACTTTCTGTACAATGCGTGTCACTTTCCTCCGTCGCTGGCAGGAACGAGCAGAACACCTAACTCTAGAAAAAAACAATACATCAGACATGGTCATTGCAAGTAACTCCACTATATCATCGTCGTCGGCCAGGTCGTCCACAAATTTCATTGCTCGGGAAATTATGCCGAAACATTGGTCTCAGTGAGTGGGCCGGTGGTGCAAAAAGAACACATCTTGAGACACAGTTGTTTCCATTTGTTGAAAGATTAAATCCAAGATTCCCAGACATCCATGTGTGTGTCCCACCCGGCTCATGCATATCCCAACCAACTCCAAGCCCTTCTGCAACAATATGAAGGATAAGAGTTTGTAAACTGTGTTGTTCTTGCTCTCTTTCACGGTGTTGTCCACCTAGGAGGCTACAAGGGAGCTGGACTTCATCTACAATCTATAGCTGAGTTTCAACTCTTTGAGCAACATGTTTTCACAAAACAGGGACGAGAGACCCATAACATCACCCGGCGAGGGAAGGCGATGTTATGGTTGGTGCAGTACTCGTGCATTTTGTCCAGTGAACGAACCAAACATTCGCTAACCATGCTGCCATCCCCTGCAAGCCGTGGTTCTAAAACGTAGAGGAACATGGCAAAGCCATGCAGCCAGATCCCCTGCAGCTTGCTCTTCGGGCGGTCATATTTACTCAGTGATTTCGTAAGTAGGTGGTGCCGTCGTCTGGGCACCACCCACTTCGACTGATCCATACCGTCCTGGGTTCCCAAAAACAAAACCATCCTTTCAGCCGACAACGATGCGATGCTTCGTGCTACCTTCTTTCGATCATAGCGTATGAACTGATTGGTGGTAAAGACTCCCAATTAATGGCCAGAGCTCAGCATGAATCAGGAGAGTGGCGTCACCAGGCTTGGAGTCCTGTCAGCTAATCTCGAGTCTCATAGCACGCAGTCACCCCAAGCTCTCACAAATTGCACAACGTCCTGGAGCCAGTTCTCAAACTTCCTGTCTTCCCCAACAGCATCAAGATGACTCTTATATTGTTTGCTGATGGTGAACTTGTCAAGAGCATCCTTACTGTCAAACACTCTGAAACCATCAGTTGCTTTGCTTGTCTCAATGGAACTGACATGATTCCATGCTTACACTTAGCATTAGCGCTGTCTAGCGGCAGTGCTGTCCTCAAAGGCTGTCTTGTAAGCTGTGCAATCATCGCACGCGGGAAAGTTGGTTGGGTGTGCAAATCGCAATATGTTGGCCCATCGATGATTGTAGCGTCGGGTGAAATGAGAGTAACTAAGTCGCTCAAATCGTGGAAATGGAGCACCATGCAATCATGACATGCTCGGCGCAACGTTTTAGTCGAGGCACGACATTCCCCCAGGACACTGAGAATATAGCATTTGCAAGTTGCCGGGAGGGAGGTATCTCGTTGGAAGAGAGGACACATCTTGGGCCCAGTTAGTGTCTACTATCCTGAGTTATGTCTTAGCCCGCGCTTGCATATGCACACATGAGTTCCACTTCTTCAAACTACTTTGCTCATTGATGCAAAAAAGATTCTGGGTCCATAGGCTCTTTGAACCCATCACATGCAATTTCAAATCAAGGTCTGTTTCCACACTTTCGTTCTCAAGGGGCAACGCGTCGTCCTCTGCGTCGGAGATTGGGAGTCCTACCACATTAGACGTACAAGCTGTCATCGGAAAAAATACAGAAGGGTCCTTCATCATCATCCACATGCTCACTCTTGCCAAAAAAGGAAGTGAGGTTGTCGACTTTGGATTTTGCAGCAGCAGCTTTCTTGTGAACTTCCCGAAGTCGAGCTGCTCGCTGGAACCTCGAACTAGTTCCCAGCTTGGGAGTCAAGAGTGGGTCACTTGACACACTTAAGATGTTATTTACATTGAGCCTGGAAACTGGGTTGGTAGCATGCCAGCCTGGTTGATGTAGGTTCGCAAAAAGAACTGGTCGATTCGAAGGTACTTCAAAGGTGTTCTCTTCTTGACCTGTGCAGGCCAAGTCACACAAAATTGGCAACATGGTTGTTGCATACCGATACCAACACCATGTCACGATGTCACATAATGCATCAAGTAAGTTTTACTGCTAAGGGACAGCCCCAAAGCATCGGTACCGCCGGTCCAACAATCCACTTCCAGATGTTTTGAAGCGACTGCTTCTGATCCCAATCACAGTGGCCAAGCATTTGGGCGCCAGCTGTTTACCCAACAGAAGAAATCTCCTTTCTCCAGACTTGGTCCCCTTGACGAGATTGTAGATCTGAGCAAAAAGCGAGAATCCACTTTGAAAGACACTGCAGGATGAACTCATTCGTGTTTATTCTTGATTTTATTCAGAACACTTACTAGGGAAATAAGCCCAGAACGTATTGATCTTGCAAAGGCTTCTCCAAGCTCCAAAATATTTCCAGAAATGAACCCACATCAGATTCAAGGGGTCGTATTCTTTCATAGCACCGTTTTCTCGTGCATCGACATTCATTTCTGGAAAGCACAGATCTTAACCTCGAAGTGGATGCTCCATTGTCTGCGTGCCTTGTACATGGCGCTGCGAGTGGGGCGAGTCAGTCACTGTTGCTTACTATTGACTCTACTAAAGACACACACTCCCCAAAACAAAACCAACTGCTAATCTATACCAGGTGCGAAGTACGAATCTCTGGATTTGCGTACATCCTTCTTCTTGTATTATCATAGTTAGGACGCTTTCGAGGCTCTTCCCGAGGAACTTTAAAGCTCGCGGCGCTGGCGTTCAGACCTTTGAATTCCCTGACAGATGCCAAGGAAAAATCGATCGCGGCATGGCTGTGTGACACAGGATCCTTCGAACCCTTCGCTTCATCTTGTTTCAGAGAGCGAAAGAATGCCCTTCGGGCATTCATTTTGAGCCTGGACCTCACGGCCCTCGAATAAAACGAAAAGACCCTCAATTGTAACGAAATCGACTTAATGGCCTCCAACCTACTAGCGTCCTTGCTACTAGCAGTGCTGTAGCTACTCGTTTACTAGTGGTGCCAAAGATGGTGTCTTGAGGTCCAATCCACCAAGAAAGGGTGCGGAAAAAAAGGGATTGCTCTGGGGGATGGAAGCTCAGTCTGGGACTTTCGCGCCTAAGGCTTCCACGTGCTCCAACTTCTTGATCCCCTTGGCAACGAGCTCCAGCATGCCCACTTCTTTGTTCTGTTTCTCAACGCCCAAACAGCGTGAATGGCGTATGCCACTGCTACAGGGTTGAGAAGAAACTCGTTTCCCCAAGTTGGACAGACGCAAACTCCTGAACTTCACCGCCAGAAAGGGCCACGAGATCCGTCTAGATAGGAAGGCCAAGTTGGACATCCTGCAATCCTGCCCTTCTGCAGCTGAGAAGCGCCAAAGTTGACGCGGCTGATCGGCTGTCCTAAAGCCACCTGGAACTCCTGCCAGCTCAGACTGAGTGAAGTAGCAACTGCTGGAAGTTCGGCACTCAAGACCCCTCTTGTCCGCACAGGGTACTACGAGCTGTGTCTCCAAAGCGATGCATCACTGACCCAGATACTCCAAAACAGCCCTTTCCAGGTCCCTCAAAACGGAACTCTCGATCCCACAACCTGAAGCCCTTCTCCGAACGTCTTCGGGGCGACTTGGGTCGTGTCGACCTAGGGTCGCTCCGCCAGGTCTGCCCGGCGCAAAAACGGCCAAAGACTATATGGAAAGATGTGCCCAAACCACACCAATGTAGGTCAATACCAGACCCCCCTTTTCGGGGTGTCTAATTGTAGCTCGTTAAGGGGTATCATGGGGTATCCATTCACCACCCCTTATATAGGAGGCCCTGGTATGCAATCTTTTCATCCATTGAAGGTGTCCAAGAAGTTCCTGGCCTGAGGGGGTCACCTGTCATCTGACCAATTGCTCAAAACGTGGTCAGACCTGGACTCAGGGTGCGCGGGCCAAGTACCACGCGCCTGGAGATTCGCCACCAAGTACCACCCGAAGCGACCCGTGAGCTGCACGGCGGCGACCTCCTGCGAGCGCTTAGAGGTAAAACAGCAGCTGCAGCTGATGGCGGGAGGAGGGGATGGACGGGAGGAGTGAGATCGAGAAAACCAATGATCATGAAGCGAAGCAATTGGACCAGCAGTCACAAAAAGGGGGTGCGATCCATGGAGGAAGTCGGGGTGCCCAGAACATCCACTCACTGGATGGGACTAAACACCACCCCCTTGTGACTGTTGGGAGAAAAAGACTCGTGGACCAGAAGTCCCAACAGGATGCTCTCCATGGAGGGTGCCGTCGGGGTGCCAACATCCACGGCCGCTCCTGGATGGGACTAAACACCACACCACCTTGACATGCGACTCCTGGGGATCTGAGGGTTGACAAATCAACTCAAAGGAGCTAAAGATCGTGAAGCTCACACTCATCCCATTGAGGATGCCGAGACCCAGAGTGGCAAAGAACAGAAGTATTTGTGCCAAGACTGGGTGAAGTGTTGCAAATTGTTTAATGTTCATAGCATAGGCCTTGCTGCTGGCCATATTGATCATGAATGTGAGGCCTCATCTATGTGCCTCAAAGGCCACAAATAAAGGTTGGCAGGACAGAATACACGTTCGCGAACCTGTATTTAAATCATGCACGATGACAAACAGGCATAATGATGCCCTTTTGGGACTAATAGAGGGGTTGATCTGGTGGTTGTTTACTTGGAGGAATCTCCTCTACAATCAACCCAGTACAAGTGAAACGCCCTGGTTTTAACTTTGAGGCTCCTGGATTCTTAGGATCTCGAACGTGGCTGGACGAGCTGCTCAGTCTAAGGGTTATATATATATAATTATTACTATACCAGCACCACCCAGTTCGGGTGGTTATTGGATGGACTTGAGGCCAAGGGGGGGGGCGAAAGCTAGCGCTCCAGAATGGGAAAGTGGAGGGCAGCGAGGTAGGAAAAAACACGGCGCTCTTTTTGGAGGCAGGGGTGAAAGAGTCCTTTATATGTGGCTCTTTGCCCGGATCCTCCTGCGAGAGAAGAGAGAGAAGAGAGACGGAAAGACGAGAGACAGAGAGGAGAGAGAGAGAGAGAGAGGAGAGAGAGATGAGAGAGATGAGAAAGAGATGAGAGAGATGAGAGAGATGAGAGAGACAGTGAGACAGTGAGACAGTGAGAGAGTGAGAGTGAGAGTGAGCGAGTGCGGCCGCAAGATACGCAACGCTAACCGCATGCCAAAGAGCGACGACAGGACGGAGTCGAACTTGCGAAGAGGGAGGAGGGAGGGAGGGAGGGAAGATGGGAGGAA